ACAAACCCATCCTAATGAATCAATGAACAAAGCCACAAACACATATATGTGCATTCATATACCCGAGTTGATACTTGATCAATGAATCATCGAAGAGTGATAATTTCTGGGTGTGTAAATTGGGAGGAGGAAGAGATTATGCTATCGACCACAACTTCTAGTTCTTACAGTCTTCTCTACTCCCTTCAAGAAATTCGATTGTGATTCTTTTTTTTAAATAAGCTCTAAGCCCAACATAGGGTCCAAACTCACAACCAAAAGATCAAGAGTCGCATGCTTCACCGAGTCAGTCAGGTGCCCTGGATTATGATTCTTGAGATTTAAAAGCCAGCTGGGTAGCCTTGTTTCTACACATCAATGCAGGAGGAGCAGTAAAAATATCTGGTTCTCTGGGTGCCTGGGTGATGCAGTCGGTGAAGCAACTGACTCTTGGTTTCAGCTCAGGTCATGATCTGAAGGTCGTGAGATCGAGCCCAGTGTTGGGCTCCCTGCTCAGTGGAGAGTCTACTTGAGATTCTCTCTCTCTCTCTCTCTCTCCCTTTGCCCCTTCCACTTATGCTGTTCTCGCTCTCTAAAATAAATAAATAGATAAATAAATAAATAAATATTTAAAAAAAAGAATATCTTGTTCTCTGTATTTCAGGCTTTTTAATGCTAGTTTGAAATATATCATTATTTCTTGGGTTGAGATGAACCTAGTCTGGGAAGAACACAAAAACCAGTGGAGAAATTGCTGAGTAAGCAAAGCTTCCAGATGACTTAGTTTGGCTAAAATGTAGGCTTTTTATTTTTATTTTTTTAAAGATTATTTATTTGACAGAGGGAGACAGTGAGAGAGGGAACACAAGCAGGAGGAGTGGGAGAGGGAGAAGCAGGCTTCCTGCCGAGCAGGGAGCCCGATGCGGGGCTCGATCCCAGGACCCCAGGATCATGACCTGAGGCGAAGGCAGACGCCTAAAGGCTGAGCCACCCAGGCACCCCTAAAACGTAGGCTTTTTAAAATATAAGCACTGCAAAGGGTTTTTCCTCTTGACTCCTGGACATATAACAGGGGCACTGATGTTTTCTAATGCACTGTATTTAACCCCCTGAGGCCGAACATCATTCCGTGTGAAATAAATTATTACAACTTGCATCTAGCATCTAAAACGAAAGACAAAATGTATAGAAAGTGAAAAAAAAAAAAAAACCATGCAGAGAAATCTGTAAGGGAGAGAAAAAAAAAAAATTCCAAGAATGTTGCTGCCTCCCGCCAAGCAGGGAGAAGAATATATTTGTTTGGTTTTGTGTGTTTTGTTTTGGTGATTTAGCTGGTCAGTGACCTGCTAAGCATAAGAATATTTCATAGAGCTAATGTTCCTATACTCTAATCTCTCTAGGCAAGGTTCATATTTGTGCGAGTTACTTATTCTCTCTTTGTTGACTAAGTCAATAATCAGAATCAGCAGGTTTGGAGTCAGTTGGCAGGGATCAGCAGCATGGCTTGGGAGAAGTGAGTATAAAAGCCCCAAGAGGAGGGCGGCCCCCACACAGGCCCTTGCGTTCTCGGCAGGATGGCTTCTCATCATCTGCTCCTGCTTTGCCTCTGCGGACTGGTACTTGTGTCTGAGGCCGGCCCCGCGGTGAGTGTTTGATTCTGCCAAGTCCTTTTATGCAGACCCTTAGGTCCACTAGATGAAGTAGAAGTGACTTCTTTCAGCTCTGCCCGCCGCCTTTTGTTCCTAGGACAAGGGCACCCCGCATCGACTTTTAAATGTCATTGATTCAAACTTCAAAATGAGTCAAGTTCAGCAGAGCTCACGGAACCGGAGCTGGGACCCTGGGTGCGCCCCGCTATTGCTTTGGTGCACTGGGGGTTACAGGGCCTGGTTCCTCCGCTCAATTTCCTCAGAGAGATGGTAGAAATAAAGACGTGATATTCGCGAAGCAACCAATATCACATTTTCAGAAATGCGTCCTTTTATAAGGTTTATTTCCCTTCTACTAATCAAAATGTCTTCATTGATTAATTTTTGAAAGGCTTGGCAGACAACATTCTAGTCAAATACCAAATTCTTAAGTCCTCTGGAAGAATTGACTAATGCTATTAAATGGGTCATGATACAGTCTGACGTGATTTTACGACTAGTAAGAGGGAATGACTACAGCAACAGCGGACTCAAGTGCTCTCGGAGAGAAACTAACTCTTTGGGCCTGTGGCACATTACGTCTTTTCAGTAATTCCACTCCAGTAGCGAGGCTTCACAAAGCAACTGTTCCCAGAGGGCTTATTTTCTCCCTTAAAACTCATTAGCCCCGTCCCCGGTCGATCGCAGCACGTCCGGAGGCAGAAGCCAGCCTGGCTTTGGGAGCAATCGAGTCCGGGCTACACTGAGAAGGGGAGCTCATTCCCTCTCAACGCTTATATTGCTGGAAATGGAATTGGCGTGTACGTCTTGCCTTGTTCCAGATTTCAAGCACCATCAAGGATAGATCCTTTCAGGGGCGCCTGGGGGGCTCAGTCGGTAAAGCGTCTGCCTTTGGCTCAGGTCATGATCCCAGGGCCCTGGGATCGAGGCCCACATTGGGCTCCTGGCTCAGGAGGGAACCTGCTTCTCCCTCTCCCTGCTGCTCCCTGTGCTTGTGCTCTCTCTCTCTCAAATAAAGAAAATCTTAAAATAAGAAAAAGAATAGATTCTTTCACTCTTACCAGTTTTGTTGACCTCTCACTGGCCTTCTCTATGCCCAGGGCACTGGCGGATCCAAGTGCCCTCTGATGGTCAAGGTCCTAGACGCCGTCCGAGGCAGCCCTGCTGTCAACGTGGCCGTGAAAGTGTTCAAAAAGGCTGCTGACGAGAGCTGGGAGCCCTTCGCCTCCGGGTAAGCTGCCCAACAAGCCCAGACCCGGGACCTCAGTCTAGCTGCTCATTCTCCCGCCACTTGTTAGAGAGATTGCCTCACACCATTCACGGGAAGAATCTTCGAGTAGATTGAGAATGCAGGTAGGGGTCAAGTAGGCCGTGGGGAGGAGGCCCTCCTCTTGCTTTGCTTCACCGGGAGTGCCCAGAAGGGACAGACAGACCATAGAGGGAAAAGAAGGAGCAGTGATCCACTGCCTTCTCAGGTCACAGACCACTTTAAGAAGGTAAGGAAAACTATGTTCTCCATGCCCAGATCTCACACACACACACACACACACACACACACACACACACACACACGTATATACAATTTCAAGAGTATCACAGATTCCTCGGTGCCCTTGCAAAACACTCAGGCTGAGTGTCCTTGGCTTGGAATTTTAGGCAAGATGTACAATTTGTGTTACTTTATTAATGAAAAGAAAGGAATTGAGGGACAGCCCTGACAAGGCACGCGTCTAGTTTATCCAGATCCTCCAGAACCTAGTACTTGTGCCTAACCACTCATGGAACACCCAGTCCGTGCCAGGCTGGAGCCTGGGGCACTCAGTAACAAAAGGACACAGACGAGAAAGATACATAAGCAGAGCACCGCCACGGACCAATCACCCAACACCAGGTGCAGCAGTGATTCTCACCTTCCTCGGGCACTGTACAATTTTCATAGTGTTTACCCACCTCCCTTAGCAAGAATTTCAAAGAAAATGCGCATTAGTAAACCTAAACCAACTCACGGAATGAATGAGCAGCCAAGAAACCCTCAGCACCAAACGATACTGCTAAGTGCTTCTGTCTTCAGGAAAGAAAATTTCTGTGGGTTTTAACTGAATCCCAAGAACCACACTGGGATTCGTCACCCATCGCTGGGAAGACCATTTTCGTTGGTGTGGTTTCAATTGAGTTTTTATTTGTGAATTCATTTATGTTTATCTAAAATGCCAAGCACGATGTGGAAAGTACTTAAGAGAATATTCTCAGCAAGAGATAGAATGAACACCAAACATATTCAGATGTTCATGTGAATCTTTTTTTTTTAAGATTTTATTTGTTTATTTGAGAGAGAGAGAATGAGAGACAGAGAGCACGAGAGGGAAGAGGGTCAGAGGGAGAAGCAGACTCCCCGCTGAGCAGGGAGCCCAATGCGGGACTTGATCCCGGGACTCCAGGATCATGACCTGAGCAGAAAGCAGTCGCTCAACCAACTGAGCCACCCAGGCGCCCGTGAATCTTTTTTTCTTCTGACAAGATAAATTTAAAAAAATGAAATATTTTCTTCCTAGAAAAGAAGACAGGTGGAAAGGCAATGATCAGAGTTAGTAAAGACAATTTCCATTTTTATCTGTCAGTTTTTGAGGTCTAATGGAGGGCAATTTCTAACACCAGCAATGGAGCTGGTACCTCTATAGAAACAGAAGTTACCTAGTTATTTTTTTTTTAAAAGGAGTTGCCTTGTATTTGTTGTTACCAAAGGGTTATGAAAGACATTAAATATATAAATAATTTCAGGTACAGGCTCCTTATTATACTTTGGGATTCCCCCTGTGTGTTCAAGTGATATGGCCTCTGAAAGACACCCTCACACTAGGAGGGAAAGGGGTAAGACCCTGGTGTCATGGGGACCACAGAGTCCAAGAGGCCATGGCCACTTCCAAGGGGTAGTTACGAACCTTCACCCAAACACCAACCCTGAATTGAAACGACCGTTTTTGAGTTGAAACATACCTATACCTTTTGTTCTCCTAAGAAAAATCTAGAATAAGCTTTTTGAAATCTTTCTGACAAATTTCCTGTCAATTTCAGTTACTAGAATTTCACCTTCCCTTCCTTCTCCTTTTCCTGAATATGTATACTTATATAAATGTATTTCCCCCTACATACACACTGCACATGTGTAGTGTGTGTGTGTGTGTGTGTGTGTGTGTGTGTGTGTGTGGTATCACCTTGCCATGGTATTCATTCCCCTAATGTCTAACTTAACCTGTAACTTTTACCTTCTAGGAAAACCAGTGAATTTGGAGAGCTCCATGGGCTCACAACTGCTGAGAAGTTTGTAGAAGGGGTATACAAGGTGGAATTAGACACCAAGTCGTACTGGAAGTCACTCGGCATTTCCCCGTTCCACGAATATGCAGAGGTGAGAGCGTAGAGACACTCGAGTTGCTTTTTAGTATTTTGTTTTGTTGTTGTCGTTGATCCCAGGCAATGCCCAGTCTGCAGTCACACGCCATGGAAATGTCATAAGGAAAGCACCGAACTAGCACAGATTCCCTTTCCTATTTCTACAGCCAGAAAGCTATAGAACTCTGAAAAGCAAAGTTTATTTCTAAGTTTGGTGGCAACTCATTTAGTAACATGACCTGAATTGACATGAGGCTCCTTATTATCTTCTTCAGTTCCCCCTGACTAGGAATGGTTGCTTGCCAAAGAACTGTTAATATGTTGGATGACTAGCAGCCCTCCAGACCCTACCTAGGGTGCCCTGTAATGAAACAGAGATGCACCATTTTACTTCTCTAAAATCTGAAAAAAAAAAAAAAAACCCACTTCATTCCAAAACACATGGCTCCCAGAGGTCTGGAGAAGTGTTTGGGGCTAATGCATATACAGACAGCAAATTCAAGATAATAATGGCAACATAATAGATAACACCGGTCGGGCATACACCACATGCCAGACTGCTTGTCTTTTCTATATTTAACCGATTCAGTCCTCCTCCACAGCCCATTGGAGTTGTTATTATTATCCTCATTTTACAGAGGAAGAACTTGAGGCACCGGGCAGTGAAATAACTCACCCAATGTCTAGTAAAGGGATGAAGAGAAATAATGACCAACAGGGCCCAGACTGGTCTTAGCCTCAGGGGTGCCTCAGCTTTCTTCCTGTAAGAAGTCGGGCTAAAAACAATAATAATAAAGCCACCTTTGTAACCCTTGGTTCACACTCTAAGTTTTGCTTATGAGGCAGTAGGAACCTCCAAGTGATCCACGGGCCCAGTCTCGGTGCCTCCTCCTTCTCCGTAATTCCTGAAGTCATTTAAAACAGATGGTTGACATGGAAAGAGAATCCAGAACTCTGGTCAGAGTTAAAGATCAAGTAATTGCATCAAAAATAGCTCAGCATTAAAGGGAAGCATCCTCTCTGCTTCAGTTGACATCAGATGGTTCTTTGGGGCGACAGTGTTGCCAGAAAAACCATAGGGGCCTGACTTCTGGGGCTCCCCATCTACCAAGAAGCTTGCCTTTGGCTGCTCCTCCTAAGTGGGGTAGCAAGACAAAGAGCCTAGTTTAGATGGTGCAGGGCTTAGAGGTACCCACCACAAATCATTTGCGCCTAGACTCTCAGCCTCTACCCTAGAACACAGGATCAGGCCCCTCGGAACCCTTGTCTGCCCTGGGCTCAGCCTAATGAGAAGATTCACGGCCGTAGGGCCCACGATGCGTTGCTACTAGTCATTAGATGTTAGCTTCCTTGTCTGTTCTTAGTGTTAGTGTTCATTCAACCAACATTTGGAAAATAAAAGCTTTCTATGTGTCCAACATTCTGCTAAATGCTAGAAATTCGTAAGCGAAAACACACGCCCGCTCTGGGGGTGGAAGGAGAGGGACTGATGTCAGGCATACTAAGTAGGACCATCAGCCCAGTGGATATGGGAAGTTAGAGAGAGCAGGTAAGCAAGCGCGAGTCCCAGGGCCTCCCCTCGGTGGTTGGTGCTGACGGGTCCAGCCATGAGTCCCTCCCCTGCCAACTTCTTCTGACCAAGACCCCCAGACAAATGCTGTTCTTCCGCATCAGCCACCTCCTCCCTCGCCGGGGACCCAGGTGGCCCTGTTACACTCACCGAGAGAGCTAGGAAATTACCTGTGGAACTAGTCGTCCTTTTCACTTCATGGGATTTTGAGCACCGATTATGCCATTTACAGTTTTGAGGAAGAATCAAGGGGAGCTGGAGGCCAATGTCAGTATTAGAGGGAAGAAGCTTTTCCTGGGTGATGCCAGACGCTTGGCCTTTAAGGAATGCTTTTTCTCCTTCAGAGATTCTTAGGTGATTGTTACCCCTTCTTGCCCTCAATGCTATTTTTATTTTCACTATGGTTCAATCAGATTTTTTTTTCTCCTGTCCCCAAACAACCAAGGCTTCCTTTTGCCATATTAGGAACAAAACACATTTACCCAGGATGTGTCCAAAGCTCAATCCAAGCCTATATACAAAATAAGTAAAATTAAAAACCTCCTCACCATCCCCCATCTCTCTCCTGAACCAAATTCCTCCTACTTGTCTCACTCTGGCGCCTAGACTATTGCAGGCCCTGAGCCTCAGAAGCTCTACTAAACCTGCCTGAAGTACATGACTAACTGGAACAACACTTTGGTCAACAATTTGTCCAATTAGGAAGCTCAAACGAGCTCCAACCCATGCGTGTATTTCAGAATTCCCACATGATCTTCCACAGTCTGCTATCGTAACTAGAACCTGACACTGCTTTAATTCCATATTTCATTGCTTGTTACACATACAAACACATTCTTGTTCTTCGTGTTAGAAAATGCAAAGGAGTAGAGGGAGGAAAACCTCTGGGTTTGGAGACAGAAGCCTTAACTTCTAACCTGGCTCTGTCCTGTATAAACTTGGGCCAAACACTAACTCAGAGGTCTGGTTGACTTGCCTGTAAAATGGGAAGAATGTTCCTGCCAGCTCTACAATTCCAGGTCTCTGATGTGTGGTGAGAGTTGCAGTCACTGTTCTTCGGTCTTCAGGCCACCGAATGCGGGTTACTACCTCCCTCCTCCTTTTTCTACCAAGAAAGTCGACAAGAGCATTTGGCTCTCTGTGATTCCCCTCAGTCAGGCTAGCGCCACCCAGATTTTTAGCGTGAATTGGCAAAAACAAACAAAAATGAGAGAGAGACAGAGAGAGAGACAGAGAGAGACCTGATTATACAGGCTGTAGAAAAGAAATCTTGTTCCAGGGGTTGCACCAGTCTCCCATGGAGTCTTCCCAGCATATTTGGACTTTTGCCTTTTGTTCAATCGGTTCCAGAAAAAGAAACCCTAAGATAAAATGAATTAACTTGGCACTGGACTTCCAGTGGTCTCCCTCTCGGTGACTCACATTTCTAGGCTCTGATAGAAACGGACCCTGTCTGTGCTCTCTCGTAGGTGGTGTTCACAGCAAACGACTCTGGCTTCCGCCACTACACCATTGCGGCCCTGCTCAGCCCCTATTCCTACTCCACCACAGCCCTCGTCAGCAACCCCAAAGAGTGAGGGACCCCGCCTTGGGTGGATCTGAAGGAGAAAGGACAGGATTTTGTGTAACCAGTAGTATTCCATTTTTATTAAAGCAGTGTTTTCACTTTATAAGCTATGCTAGAAACTCGGGCAGAGACAATAAAACATTCCTATTAAAGCACTTCTCATTTCATTTGAACTCGCTTTTTTATTCCCATGTTGTCCTCTCAAAAAAAAAAAAATTTTTTTTTTTTTTTTAAATTTAAGAGAGAAGCAAAGGAACTCAAAAAAGTCTCTGGCTGAATTCTGGAGGGAAGTCCCAGTTCTCAATGTCTTTCAAGCTAAGCATGTATTCGACATGGTCAGCAGCCATTAAAAAAACACATTCTGAAAAGGAGAAAGCTTTTGTGTCCTCTAACATTCAGTGAATAGCAAAAGACAAATTCTCAGGACCCACTTCTTTATTCTGTGCATTCCCTTTAAGTGCTTCACTGATTTTGAGGGCAGCGCCCAGCTGTACAGGGCCAGACCTGCAGTGACTCACGCTCTCCGATCCGGTTCTGACCAACAGCAGCCCGCAGTCAAGTGACTAGAAGATGTAATCAGAGAACCCTCACACCCCCAATTCACTCAGACTCATCCAAAATTCATGTACCGAGAAACCCTACATGCCAATTGCTATTTTAGGTGCCCTGAACATAAAGAAAGAGATCTAGTGCCCGCATTTTAAGAGCTCACAGACTTTGGAGAAGATGACGATGTCAACGTGATTTCACCGAGGCTCGGGTACAAGGCTCCGCGAGAGGAGGAAAGAGGGTGTAGCAAACAGCCAGGAGAAGTCAGACGAGGACACCGAATAAATTTCACTTCTGGATCTTGGCGGTTTACCAGCCAGGAGAGGGAGGGGTTATTCTAGGTCGAGAGAGCAGAGATTGCAAGGCCCAGACAGAGTGAAACAACGCGGTGAGTGGAGGGAGCAGACGGAGGTTGAGGATGTTGACGGGTAGGAGGTAGTAAGATGCGCGAGGCTGTGCTGTCTTAATAACAATCCCAATCTCCGGGACTCCGCAAAACCACGGTTTATTTCTCACTCACACCAAGTCCGATGAGGGAGTTCTTCGTCTGCTGACCTCCAGGGTGGCTTTCCTCCAAATGGTGACTCAGGGCCCAGGTTTGCTTATCTTGTGGCTTCAAGGGACACGCAGTCGGCTGACTGGAGGAAGAGAGAAAGTATGGTCTTCATCCTCCCATGTTGCAGTGACGCACAGGATTCTCATTGACATTTCCCTGGCCGGAATTTGTCACATGGTCTCACTTAGACACACCGAGCGATCTAGTTCAGTTCCTGATTGGGAGTCATGTCCCAGAATAACTGCATTCTGGAGAAAAGCACTAATCTGTGTTGGTCAAGAATCATCCCTGCCACAGTAAGGTTAGGACGAGAGGGAAAGGAGACTGGAGCGAAAGCAGGCTTTAGATGCCACCTGCTAGAGCTGCAAATTCATCTTCCAGACAATATGGATCCAAGCTGGGAAACTTGGCACCAGGTGTACCCCGTGTGGCTGGGGCAGAGATAGTTACTTCTGGGGCACAATCTCCAACCAGGGTTCCCCAGGACAACCTGGGTCTGACCCAAGGTTTAGGCCTAAACATACCTAAGCAGCCATTCCGTTTTCTGTCAAATTCAAATCTAAAATCTTGCCGTGCTCTAGCTGGCTGGGTAGAAGGAGGAAGAGATTTGGAGAAAGTGGAGTGTAGGCTTGGACTTTTTAACATGGATTCATTAAGCTTTGCCCCAAATCCATGTGGTAAAATCAATGCCCCTAATTCTGTTAATGAGATTAGCAAATCCTTTTTCTATGTATATTAGGCTAATCCACATCAAATTGCCATTTTTATAGATTAAATGGTCAAATATTGGGGCGCCTGGGTGGCTCAGTTGGTTAAGCGACTGCCTTCAGCTCAGGTCATGATCCTGGAGTCCCTGGATCGAGTCCCACATCGGGGTCCCTTCTCGGCTGGGAGTCTGCTTCTCCCTCTGACCCTCTTCCCTCTCGTGCTCTCTATCTCTCATTCTCTCTCTCAAATAAATAAATAAAATCTTTAAAAAAAATAAAAAAATAAATGGTCAAATATTAGCAATTTTATAAGATTCAATCTAATACTTAAAGTGATTGTATTGGTCACTGACCTGCCTGTTATTTAATAAAATGCTACATTTCAATTTGGCCGCTGTTAAATAGCTATGGATTTTTATAGCCCAAGCAGATTGAAAATATGAATCTGTCATATATATATCTCTGAATTGAATTTAACTTTTTAATGTTCCTGCCTCATTTCTTCTTGGCATCAACAAATTGAATCTTGCCCAATGAAATCAACTCAATTTGACTTCCAGTTTAACGTTCAGCCTTCTCCTTCCTTTCTGAATGTTATCTATCTTCTGGAAGCTATGTAGCATCTTGGCACAAAGTGGAGTGTGTTGTCTGGTCCCTGAGAGTCCTCTGTCCCAGCTGCATCCACTGAAATGATACTTTCTTCCTTTGCTCTTTGTTATGTGTTAGTATCTTTCACGGCCACAGTTATGGGTTGAATTGTGCCCCCTTAAAAAGATATGTTGAAGTCCTAACACCCAGTACCTGTGAATGTGACCTTATTTGGAAATAGAGTACAGAGGCAGAGAATGGAGTCACAACCAGCCGTAAGCCAAGGACACCAAGGATTGATAGCCATTGACAGAAGTCTTCTCCCCTACAGGTTTCAGAAGGAGTGTGTCAAGTTGACACCTTGATTTTGGACTTCTGACCTCCAGAACTGTGAGACAACAAATTCCTGTTATTTTAAGCCACTCACTTTACAACCCTGGGAAACTAATATAGCCTCCTATGTAGGGTATTCTTCCAAATTTTATCCTGGGTTTGTAATCAGTGAACTATGTCATTCTGAAAGTCAAAATCTATACTTAATATTTCTTTAGATTTCTTTTTTTGTTTAGTGATGCTAAACATATTGTCTTGTGCTTATTGGCCATTCAAACCTCTTGCGAACTGCATGTCCACATCGTTTACCATATTATGCAGGGGGTCTGTTTAGTCAGTATTGATTTATAAAAGCACACTATATTTGAAAGACATTACAAGCTGTATTTGAAAAGTAGTGTGACACACAGAGGAATAGTTATCTAAGTTCTAGAAAACCACATGAGCTGAGATACCTTGTTGGAAGTTGGTGTGATAATTGCAAAGAGGAGGGTGGGAACTGGGTCATCACAAGCAGAGAGATGAAAAATCGTGGGGGATCATTGGGTGGGTAAGTTCAAGTTATAGAATCACTGAATGCTAGGTTTTAGAAGTCTTTTCGGGACAAGAAAGCTGAGCTACGGAAGGTTAAGTAAGTTGCCCAAAACCATGCAGAGAGCTTTGGAAAGCCCTGCAAGGCAGAGAGGGAGATTTGTCACAGGAGTCCATGGGTTCCTGATTAATTCCGACCGTGAGGAGCTGCTCATCCAAACTCTTGAAATAGCAGAGAATGCTAATAAGAAAATTCTGCCAAAATCCACAAAAGCAACAATATGTGCTTCTAACATATCAACCTTGGTGGACTCCCATCAGCCCTACTCTCTTTCCCATAAAATTACCCAAGAGATTAGAGTATCTTAATTAATTCCACTCATGGCCTTTCCCACTCACCAGAAACACACGCATCTCTCACTTCCCTAAAACCAGAAGGATCTTCATCATGTTGTATCAATTTCCCAATAACCTCAGAAATAAGGATGTGGCCAAAGATTCCACCCTAGGATGGATAAAGTAGAGGAGGAGCACCATGGTGATTAACTTTATGTGTCAACTCGGTTAGGCTACGGTACCCAGTTTTTGGTCAAACACCATTCTAGATGTTGCTGTGAAGGTATTTTTTGACATGATTAACATTTTTTTCCCCTCCAGCTTCATTGGGATATAATTGACATATAACATCGTATAAGTTTAAATGTAAAACATAAGGATTGATAAACATAGGTCCTGCGAAAAGATTACCACCAGGAGGTTAGTTAACACATTCCTCACTTCACATGGTGATCTCTTGTGTGCACGTGTGTGGTGAGAACTTTTAAGATGTACTCTCTTAACGACTTTCAAGTATATGATACAGTATTATTAACTCTAGTTACCATGCTGTACATTACACCCCCAGAACTTACTCATCTCATAATGGGAAGTTTGTACCCTTTGACTACCTTAGACGTGATTAACATTTAACTCAGTGGATTCTGAGCAAAGCAGATAGTCCTCCATAATGTGGGTGGGCCTCGTCCAATCAGTTGATGGTCTTTAAAAAAAAGGCCCCTAGAGGAAGAAGGAACTCTGCCTGCAGACTGCCTTTAGACTCAAGATGGCAACATCAACTCTTCCCTGGACCTCTAGCCTGCTGGCCTGCCTTGCAAATTTCAGACTTGCCAGCTCCCACAATCACATGAGCCAATTCCTTAAAGTGAATCATTTTCTCTCTAGATATATATGTGTATTTAAATATAAATATAATGGAATTTTATATTAAATATAAGTGTGTTAGAAGTCGATGTGTGTGAATGGGTGGAGGGTAAATGTAAACAACAGTGTCATTTAAAGGCAAGATATTCATTCTCATAAAATGTCCCTGCCCTTTTTAAAAATAGAAAAAAATACTGCTATGCTCTCCACATAAAGCATATTCAGATGAACATAGTTTGAATGAGACATTTATGTGCAACGATCTATTTCAAGATTAGCTCTGTTTAAAGACTTCCCTGAGCCGTGTATCATAACTTCAGGGAACCAGAGATTACCATTAAAATCAAAGAGACGTCCTGAGCCTTTGAAGCCAGACTTCACAGGTAAAAATTATTAATCTGGTCACATATAGACGAACTGATTAGTACATTTCCACCCACCATTTAACCTTTCTGGTGTTTCAGGATGCTACACTGCTAAAGCCAGGAGACTCATCTCTAGGGTAAAACCAGCCACTTGGCACTTTGAGTAGCATAGGAGAAAAGGCATACTTTTCCAGTGGTTTCCAATACAAACCAAGAAGAGAAACGGAATATTCACTGCGCTCTCTCAACACATGTTTGTGTCTCTCGGCATCCTCTTCTCCTCGGGGCTCAGGGCCATGCTCTGCATCACGAGGACGTGGTTGGGGATTGATGCAGCCTGAGGACAAGAAGGACAAGAGATAACGAATGAATGGGGTCGTATAACTTCCCACAGTGGGAAGGCGAAAGCTGTGGACATGAGCCCAGTGAGGTTAGTATCGCTGGAGAACAAAGACCAGAGCAGGGAGGCCAGCCTGATGGACAGCAGCCGGCGTGCGAGGCTCCTTCTGTGCCACCCCAAGTGATCTTCAGTGCAAACAAGCATAGAGGACTTGTTCCTCTCATCCCAATGCAGGGTGTGAAGCAGAGAAGTGGCATGATTAAATTGGAATGCCAGATTATTGTTTCTCATTTAAGAAAAAAAAATCTATGCCCTACTGTGTGTGTGTGTTTAATTCCAGTATAGTTAACATGAAGTGTTACATGAGATTCAGGTGTACAACACAGTGATTCAACACTTCCGTAACTGAGCTCAGTGCTCCTCACGGTAAGTGTACTCTTCATCTCCATCCCGTTTCACCCATCCCCCGCCCCCCTCCCCTCTGCTAACCATCTGCTTGTTCTCCATAGTTAAGAGTCTGTTTGGTTTTTTTGTAAAGATTTTATTTATTTATGAAAGAGAGAGAAAGCACGAGCTGCGGGGGAGATGCCGAGGGAGAGGGAGAAGCACCGCTGAGCAGGGAGTCCGATGCTGGGGCTCGACCCCAGGACACTGAGATCATGACCTGAGCCATCCAGGCATCTAAGAGTCTATTTTTTAATTTGTCTCTTTTTTTGTTTTTGTTTCTTAAATTCCACATATGATTAAAATCATACGGTATTTGTCTTTCTCTGACTCACTTATTTCACTTAGGATTATCACCTCTAGGTCCATCTATGTTGTTGCAAATGGCAAGATTTCATTCTTCTTTATGGCTGAATAATATTCCATTTGTGACGTGTGTGTGTGTGTGTGTGTGTGTGTGTACCATTTTTTCTTTATCTATTCATCTATCAGTGGACAATAATTTGACTATTGTAAATAAAGCTGCAATAAACATAGGGGTGTATATATCTTTTCAAATTAGTGTTTCATATTCGTTGGGTAAATACCCAGTAATGGACTTGCTGAATCATGTGGTAATTCTATTTGTAAATTTTCGAGGAACCTCCATACTGTTTTCCACAGTGGCTGCACCAGTTTGCATTCCCATCTACAGGGCATGAGGGTTCCTTTTGGTCCACCCCCTCGCCAACACTTGTTGGTTTCTTGTGTTTTTGATTTCAGTCAGTGTGACAAGTATGAGGTGATATCTCATTGTGGTTTTGATTTGCATTTCCCTGAGGATGAGTGATGTTGAGCATCTTTTCATGGGTCTCTTTGCCATCTGGATTCTTCTTTGGAGAAATGTCTGTTCATGTCTTCTGCCCATTTTTTAATTATGTTAGTTGGGGTTTTTTGAGTTGTATAAGTTCTTTCTATATTTTAGATAATAACCCTTTATCAGATATGTCATTTGTAAATATCTTCTCCCATTCTATAGGTTGTCTTTTAGTTTTGTTGATTGTTTCCTCTGCTATGCAGAAACTTTTTATTTTGATGTAGTCTCAATAGTTTATTTTTGCTTTTGTTTTCCTTGCCTCAGGAGACATACCTAGAAAAACATCGCTATGTATGCCCTGTTGTTTTAACTTCTCATTTTGAATTAATTTTCGCCTCAGAGAAGAGAAGTTGGAAAAACAGTATATAGAGCTCCTTACCCAAATTCTAATGCTAACGTCATACATGATCATAGTACAATTATCAAAACTGGGAAAACAACATTGATATAAGGCTTGCTAGTGGCATCCAATCTGTAAGTTTCTCAGTCTTTCCTTGCTGTATTAGATTCCTGGAGCTGCTGTAAAGTACCATAAACCAGGGGGCTTAAAACAACAGAAATTTATTGTCTCACAGTTCTGGGGCTGAGAAGTCCAAAATCAAGACATTGGTAGGGCCCCGTGCCTTCTGAAATCTGAAGGATAGGATCCTTCCTTGCCTCCCCTCTAGCTTCTGGTGACTTGCTGGTAATCTCTGGGGTCCTTGGCTTGCAGCGGTGTGTCTCCAGTCTCTGCCTCCTGCCCAAATCCACCAGGAGCACTTTGATGTAGTTGAACCCCTTGTGTTTATTACTCCTTCCAGCCAGAGAGAACACGCACCATGGGGAACCATAGAGTGTCTCACTGAGAGTGTTGGAAAGAACTATTATAGGATTGGGGCTTTAATTGGATGAGTTGAGAAAGAGTCTAAGGAAGTAGGACTTCATCGAGATTGGACGCTGTCTGAAAGTGAGGGCAGCTCTATGGGTGTCACAGAGGTTTATCTGTAGGGAGGGCAGACCAGAGAAGAGAAAGAACTGTAACTGGTAATAAAGCAGAAGCAGTGACTCCTTTCAATAGAGGTGAGGTTTGGTGCTTTGTGGGTTTCACAGTGATTTTGGTTTTTGTCTTCGTCATGGTCTCAGAGCAACCTTGATGATGTTGATGCTCTGTGATATTATCACGTCCAACGGACCACCGCCCTATGGTGAGCACCAAACTAGCTTGGGATAACACTGAGGCCAGTTCCCCCATGCGTGAGCTGCTTCCCCACCCCCCCCCTTTACCTCCATGTCTATAGAGGTATTTAGAATAGAAAATCAGCAGGTAGCAATGCTGGCTTCATTGTGGGAATGGGGAGAATTAGAGGAGCCTGTGACGTCTCGGGCACCCATCAATGGCTAGCAGATTGAGTGGATGAGCCAGCAACTGAGCTCAGGAATATGGGCAGAAGAGCAGATTCGTAGGCAGAAATGGTGAGTTCAATTTCAACCCTGCTGAGCCTGAAGTAACCAAGCCACTTTTTAATCTCATACCTTGGGAGTTGGCATTGTGGGCACACATATAGGCAGAAAACAAAAATCGCCAATATTAAAATAACTCCAGAAACATTCAGATAGCACCTGTCCAACAGGGACATTTAGAGTATTTATGCCTTAAACTACATTTTGTCTGCAGAGACAGTGCTTCCTAGGAATTCTGTACCTCATCCAAACCCTCATTTTTTTTAAATTTTATTTTATTATGTTATGTTAATCACCATACATTACATCATTAGTTTTTGATGTAGTGTTCCATGATTCATTGTTTGTGCATAACACCCAGGGCTCCATGCAGAACGTGCCCTCCTTAATACCCATCACCAGGCTAACCCATCCCCCCACCCCCCCCAGAACCCACAGTCTGTTTAAAACCCTCAGTTTTTACAGCCATTCCTTCCTTCTACTTCCCAGTTTGTAGAACACACCCCTCCCTTAGCCCCATTCCTTCTTATTGCCTCTCAAAATGGAAATAAGCTCCCAATCAATTCCATTTCCCAGCTTCCCATTCACTGTGGGTTAGAACGGCCCCAGTTAATTTAAAGCCAAGGCAGATGGCAATTCATCTTTGGCAATCAATGCAAATGCTGAAGGTCTGTTCCGGAACTGCCTGCAGCTAGCAGGGGGAGAGGGGCTCCATGTAGCCTGCTTACATAAACGCGGGACATGCAGCGCTTCCCTCCAGGCTCAGCAGTCCCCCACCTGCTGGCCCTGCCATTAAGGTCACTCCCCAGGAGGCCAGAGGCTGTGCAACCGGGTGTCAAGACTGCTGTGGAAAGCAGGGGTGGGCTGAGGGGGAGAACCCTGAGGCTGGCCTCAGAGCCCCAGGCAGCTTCTAGATGACCCACGCTGAGCTGAATGAACACTGCTCCACAGCCTTCCCTGGCAAAGTGTTTTCGGAAAAGACATTGGAACATATTTTGAAGTATCTGCCGAGCAGGGTCCAGCACATAGTCAGTGCTCAGTAAATATTTGCTGCAGGATAAGTGAACGGCTTGACTCTGAGCAGGCAAACAGTTCTCCTGTGAGCCCCTACAAGGTCTTGGGGTTTTACCCAGATGTTTTTTCCTCTCATATGGACACGTGAGAAATGGCACCATGACCTATCAATCTACAAGAAACGGACCAGTTTGTTGGGAAACACTGAAAG